TAGGTAGCTGATCCAATGACCAGGATAAAACAGTGAAGCAATCAATCAATCAATGGATTTATAAGGCGCATAATACAGCAGTCTCTATGCGCCAATAAAAAAAGACCAATGAAAGTGAAGCAAGCAAGCAAAGTGGGTGTGAAACCAAGTGCCGCTAAAAAAGAGTCAGTGTGCCGTTCTTCCGCATTTTGAGGGCCAGCCAACCGACCCCGCGGAAACATAATTCATAGGATCAATGTGCCAAACCATTCCATGACAACACCTGAAAACATCCCACTCAAGAGAAAAAACAATAATTAAATAAAATGGCCAATAAATTATGAGTAAGCTGAGTCAAAGAGATATGATTTCAGTTGTTTTTAAAAAGAGTAAGAGATGGCGATTCGCATATATGTACAGGTAGGTCATTCCACTATTATAGCAGGTTTACTCATAAAATTTTTAAACAAATCATTAAAGAATTCTTTGAAAAGAAGTTCAATGAAACACTGATCATAACATTTCAGTCTTAAAATTGATTACCAGCCAATTTAATAGTATGTAAAAAAAAAATAGGTATGGTATTATTCATGTTCTTTCTTGGAAACATTATACTTCGGTTCTTATGTTGCTAGGGGATACAAAGTAAGCTATTCAAATATTAAATATAATTAATTGTTTTCTATCTCGCCAAAGGCAGATTACACAGCTGGAAACAAAATTTAGAAAATAAATTTCTTGGGAAACAAATATTACTGAACTATATCAATAATGAAGTTATTGATAGATTTTTCGCACCACAACGTTAGGCTGCTATGAACAAGAGGAAACAGTCATTGGTAAGCGGTAGCATTTACTTACGAAGGAATGATAATTCCGATCTAAGCAAAGCGCAAGCGCAGTTACCAAAGAATGCTCTAACAAATCTACGTAAAACACATTGAGCATGTGCTGGGCAATGCTGGACAGAGAGTGAGCATGTGCACTGAGTAAGTGATGTTGTTGAGCATGTGCAGTTACCAAACGACGTCTCATGAAATCATTGAGCAGTGTGAAGAGGGTGTGAGATAAAAATGAGAAAAATCAAACGTTTTTGTGCAACAATTGAGTATGCGCAACTCAAGCTAAAGCAATTATATTTTTAAAAATTGAATACAAAAAAAAATAATAATATTATTAATAATATTAATACCAACAATAATAGTAACGCAAGCTAAAGTAAGTCTACAAGGTAGGCCTACACCAACTATATATTACACTGGTATGAATTTTATACTTTATACATTTCTAATGTACAGTAAACTGTCTACAGTTAAACTTCCCTAAGTCAACTTTGCCTAACTCAGATAATTTATAAGTTGATCTTATTTTGCATGCCAAATTGTTGTTTTCACTTACTTAACCTTCTGTAAGTTGAATTTTATTGAAGTCGAACAATTTTTCAATGCCATTTTGGATTTGACTTAGGCAAATTCAACTGTAGTATGCCTTTTTATTATTTTAATCTTGTGTATGTTTATGTGTCATACCATAACAGAAATGCATTGAAGATGGTAGGTCATCCTCAACAATATGTTAATATATTAAGTTTGGAAATACAAACCAGTCATAAGTAAAAAATGTTGCAGCATTTTTTTTTTTATGGGCAATATTTCTTGTTATATTTTACTGCTGTGACAAAATGTTATAATTATTAATACTGCTGCTGCTGTTGTTGTTGTTGCTCTTGTTTTTGTTAAATTGTCCCAACAAGAAAGATTTCTATTTCTATTTCTAAAAAGAAACACTAAAATATTCAATGTAATGACTGTTTCCACAGTAATTGAAATCTATCTGCCAAAAAATAATATTTGATGAATGGCTCAATTTGCCCAGACCAAAATACAGTTTATAGAAAGGGGAAGTCAATAAAAGAATATCCTGTTAACGAATTCTATACATCATATACATTTTTCCAGCAGCAATCAGCAAACAAATAATTCTGCTTCAGCGTCAACAAAATTACTTCCTCTTCTCATAGTCCGATAGTCCATGTACGGATCAGCATGAGAACGAAAATGTATATACTGCAGATCAATTTAAAAAAACATACCCTCATCGTAAATCACGTGTCTCACAACGCTTTAATAACAACCGACAGCATTCCAGTAACCACGCTGCGAGTTACTGTGATGTTGTTGACGCTATATTACTGGGCCTCGAGGATGATAACAATAAATGTCTAATCCACACACCTGAACGAAAGCTCATCAGTTGCAGTGTTTAAAAAGCAGCACCTGGGTGTGCACGACATTGAGAGATATCGCTGGATTTTTCTGCACGTATCATTAGTATGCATGGTTTGAAATCTGAATACTTTTGTGGCAAATTTCTTATGATAAATTGTTCATTTAAAGTTCATAGCGAGACAAATCAACATGATTTTTTATGGTGATGAATGTGGTGTGAATGGTAGCAATGGTGACAAGCGTTGTGGAGGTCATGGTAGCAATGGTGATGAACATGGTGGGGGTGGTAGCAATGGTGACAAGCATTGTGGATGTCATGGTGGCAATGGTGATGAACATGGTGGGAGTGGTGGAAATGGTGATAATGGCGCTTCATTATTAATAATTTTAATTCCCTGTTTTTCTACATCGCATAAACATAAGTAGATCCAAGCTACATTTTTGTAAGTTTATAAATTATGATAATGAGAGATAAGAACTTAATGACATGAACAGGTTTATATCAACCGGTGGGTGTTTTTCTACAAAGAAGTGATTGTGAAGATAATAATAAAATTGGAAAATAATTCAAAATCACAATGAATAACAATAATGAAGATGATGATAATGATAATAAAACTGTACACGACATTCAGCAGACACTGGCGTCATGATGATGATGAAAAATGGTAATGACAAAAAAATGATAGAGATGATAATGAGGATAATAATAATAATCATGAAAGTGAATATGATGATGATGATGAGGATGAAACATGACAATAATGATATTAACATGATGATTATGAAGAGAAGGAAAAATTATAATGATAAAGATGATGATTACAATGATAATGAAAATGATTATTGTGATGATGATGATAAAGATGATGATCATAATGACAGTGATGAAGATGCTGAAAATGTTGATAATTGTGATGATTAATAAGAAATAATTATCAAGAATAGTACATAGATCAACTCAATATCCCACATATATAGCATGTTCCCTTGACTAAACTGTAAGCTATTAATAGCAACAATAATACTGGTCATAAAATATTATAACATACTGTTATGCCAATAAAAAAAAAATCTTTAAAATACTTATTTACCACCAAAAGGGACCCACTGGAAATAAGCCTCATCCAATCCAATCAAATTTATTAAGTTTTAAATATTTATCATCAATCCTAATTAATATCTTAAAGAAACCTGAATTTCTTTCTATTCACTTTAATTCAATTGACATTTTCAGATAAAAAAAAAGTGCAGTAATGTCATTAAGAAAAAAGGCCACAGGTTGTGGCTAATTCACATATATGCAATTTACTTGGAATTAAACTTAATGTTGTGACTACCTATGGCAGCTATTGCTACACTTAGTTTAGTATATAGACAGAAAAGGATTTAAACAGAAATATCCTTGTGACTTGAATGGTCATGCAGTATTTTGCATTCAAATTTTTGAGACTTGCATTGCCACAAACCAGAGTAACCAAAAAATTCTGTCTCGTTTGTGCAGTTCTCTCGCATTTCCAAAAATATGAATGGCTAAAAATACAGCTTTATTATCTTTTTGCAGCTGCTGTTGTGAGAACCTACTTACAGAGAAATTTTATTTATTATTTTTTAACACATATTTTAATTGGATTGGATTGGATTGGATTGGATTTATTCGGTGTAAACACCAAGGATAGCCCACGAAAGTCTAGAAGAAGACTTATTTCCAGTGGGGTCCTTCTGGTGGTGACTGGGCAGGTCACCGGGAGACAATCCCCTACTCTTTTCCGAAGAGTGTACTGTGTTCTTTAACGTGTACATGGGCCATAATGCACACGGGACCAACGGCTTAAACGTCTCATCCGAAAGATGGTGCGCTATTGTAACTTATATTTCAGCCCTCATATGGGAATTGAACCGGGGATCTAGAGATCTCCACGGTTCAGCACGCACACAGCGGCTACCACCAGATTAGCCAACTGAGCTATTAGCTGCTCTGTATTTTGCTGCATGTGGTGTACCCTTGATCAGCAAACTTCAGGAAAACAATTAATTATCTACTGGTTAAAAACCAAAAATACAACAAATATAGCTTAATAATAATAGTACTTTCATAATAATAGAACTTATGATTAAATATTGTTGAGCTGTGACAGTCCAAGGAATATTATTGTATGAATTTTGACACTACTAAAAATACACAGACAGAAGGGCATTTGAAATTTTGCTTTTAACTCGCTAAAGCCAAGCAGCCAACATGAATATGATTTAATGCAATTATGATTAAGATTGCAGACCATGCCTGCCAAGTCATGCAGAGTGGATAATTTAGTCTATTTTAACTACCAGATTAAAAAAAATCAATCTCTTGTCATATACAGACTCAGGAATGAAGCATGTTACATGGCATGATTGCAAGATTGCAGGTTCAAATCCATGTTTGCTCCTAAGATGAATAAAATTATTGTAATGATTTGATGGCAGTGAAGTAAAATAGTGAACCGAAGAATCCAGTATTGCCTGAAGAAATTGCCTCACAGTCAATCACAATGAAAGGATAAATAATGCAGCATATACGAGGCTTAGTCTCACCTGTTTTGCTCTTTTTAATCTGTTTTCTTTCTTTGCCAATGTCACTAGAGTTCTTATGAATCATGTTCCAGCGAGCTCAGGACCTCAATGTGCTGGAGAACAGAGCAGTGGCACTGGTTCCTTCTGCTGTCTTCTCTTTGTCACTTGGTTTCTTTTTACATTTTCTTCTTTCAAGGCTTTGTGTCCGTAATATGCGATTTACAAGTACATGGCCATTGTCATTACATGGGCAGTAACAAAAAGCAAGGGAAGAGAAAATTATTTTGAATGTATATTATTGATGTCATGGTTGACATTTTGTTTACAGTAATCATATTATTATCAAATCATTTAACCAGAAACTCATTAATAAACAATCTCATTTTCATCTGAACATAAGATTATACTTTATACTTTAATAGAGTGCAGAGTAAAAAATACAATAAGGATATACATCATCATTGCCATATTGGCTTAACGTTGGCTAATGCAATTTTATGAAGTCTACAACGTGAAGAAGTTTGTCCGATGGAATTGTTTTAAATCTGTGTCTCTAAACGCTCACATAGAGCAGAGAAAAATTTGTTGTACTGAAGCAGAACTGTGTTGAAAGCTTTAGAGATCACACTTTCCTCCATATTAGGCCATTTTTTTCCTATTGGAGGAATTTTCAATCTGTTGAGTTTAGCAATGTGTCTTCAGGCCTTCCTACGGGTCTCTTCACTTTTCTCTCGTACTTCCTAGTTAAAGGAAGTTTAACAGATGAGCTTTCTTGTAACCGCATTAAATCTCCATAATATTTTAATATTCTTTATATATATGATGGTCCATCTATTTTATTACATTAAATCATACGAATTAATATGAATATTCCAGAATATTAAATTTTATTTGACAAAAAAAAAGCCGTTGCATGCCCATATAACATATAATATACTATATTATAGTAATGATTTTTTTTTTTCAGAATCGGAATTTATATAGTGCGTTTTCATTTGAACTTCTGATCTCACAATCAGAAGTCCAACACCCCACACGCTGTGGCACACGCTCCTACATATGTGCCTATATATGGTCATGGTGTGATGCCATCATGACCATATTTATTAGGCTTACCCCATGTTTTGATAGTCTGAATAAGGCTCTTATTTTGATCTTATTTTGATACTGACCATTTAATACTGAGTTATTTTCTAATCATTTTCTTGTCAGTACACATCCAAGAATTCAACAATATTAAAATAAAAGTAATGAAATGTAGCTTGTGATTTTATTATTCATAACACATGATAAGAAAAGCGATGAAAATTGATAAATAATAAAATTATAATCATTATTGTAATAATAGCTATAATTATAATAGAAAAATAATAATCAATAAAAACATGAATCAATAATAAAAATAATATAATAATATTAATATCTACTTAACAGTGTCTACCAACCATTTACATACACAAAAAATAAATAAATATAAATTGTATAAAAGGAAAAAATTAAATTCAAATCAAACAATCCGAGATCATCTTACATTCCCATTTTTCAGGAATTAGCTATGTTGGAAATTAGTTTTCTGAGAAGAGTTTCCTTGGAATTTTTCATTTCTAAGAATAACTATCTTGCAATTCCACCTACGTATTTCTGAGATAGTTAAGATATCTTGGAAAGGAGTCTTTCCGAGATACATTATCTTGGAATTCCGTCTTTTCCATTTAAGCTATCTTGGAAAATCCGTCTTTCCAGATTCATTACCACTGAATTCTGGCTTATCATCAACTTTCTTCCGTGTTCTCAACACTTTGTTGCGGAAATGCAGAATCTCATAATTAAGGTCACTAGCAGCTTCTACATACATGAAGACTATCCAGATTAAGAAATTTATGAGAAACAAATTGAGAAAGATGCGAGATGAAACCATTCTGAAAAATGAGATTACCAAAATGTTAAGCGAAGTACCGTTGTTACATCTAAAATGGATAAACTAATAACAACATTATATTATTATATCAGGATATATTTAATATATTATATGAAAAACTAATATTTTATAAAATCATGGAGGTATGAAACAGGCTTACATGTTTTTCAAAGTATATTATCATATATAATAATAAAAATAATAATAATATGTAGGTTTTACATAGTGCTCTACACAACATAGTATCAGAGTGCTTTTCAACATTATTACCCAGTCATTGGAACGATGCCTATGGGGGAAATTCCATAGTTTGCTGCAGGAAATATATCAGCACATTTTACATTCGAACTTCCTCAGGTACCCACTTATCCTAGATGGAGAGAAGCAAAACAGATAAAGTGCCTGGCTCAAGGACACAAACAAAATGCACAGCGAGTGACTGAAACCCTGACCTCATGGTTGCAAGCTAAACCGATATTACTGTGCCAAACCACTATAAAATTAGGTACTTTCTAAAATAAAAATAATAGAAGTAAAAATATAATACAAAATTTAATGACAAAAAATATGAGGTTCATAGTTCTATAGATCAAGTGAATAATAATGAAATCTACATAATAACGTCGATGATGTTAAAACAAAAAAAAAAGAAAAGAAAAATAGATTTTATACAGGTCTGTGATAATTGAGACAGCTGATAATAGTGAGCATCCCTGGATAGACTACCCTCGATAAGTTATTGATTGAAAAATAGAAACCGAACCAAACTATCTAATAAGACTAATAGACCAGTGAAGTTATTGAGATGCTACTTGGAAAATGTTCTTAGAAACGGATCAAGTAAGTCATTACTTTGCAAGATGCAGGTAAAAAAAAAAATTTACTGTACAGACTTTCTACTACAAAACTTATAGAGCCAATTTTGGGGTAAAGGAAAAATGTGACTAGCTCGAGAAATACCTGCCGTTTGTCGCAATTTCTAATTTCGCACAAGCACCAAAGATGTTTTAAACATTTTCAGGTTTTTGCATATTATAAAAGATGATATACTGTAAAACATTTCTGCAAAAATATTAATACTAAATCTAACTGAAAGTACATTAAAATTTTATTTTTAAAATACAAATCTTAATACTAAACTATTATTTTGGAATCTCTGGAAATATTCATAACTTCACTATACTCAACCAATTTCCATCAAATAAACATTGTACAGTATTAAGGAAAAATCCATGCACAATCTAAACTACCAAAAACTCAATTGTGAATTTTTCAGATAAACAGCTGGTTTTACTAGAGATGGATCCCAAATAATAATAACAAAAAAACAAAAAAAAAACGAATTTACACATTCATAAATTTTTTTTCCAATTTATTATTTTCAATTTGCTTAACCTAATAAAATAAAATTAAGTTAAGTACTTTATCTCAACAATAAATTATACTAACATTGCTTATATACTCATCAACCATCTACTTATCAATCATCTACTTCAACCATCACCAGCATTTATCACCATCATCCATCACTGTAACACATCACAATCCTACATCTCATCATGCAATGAAATTAACCATCATTTATCAACACAACCAGAATTCATCACTTCCAATCATATTTCCAACTATCACAATTACTGTACTATCAACCAACACCATTACCAGTATTCATCACCATCCACCAGCACCATCACCAGCATTCATCATCTTCAATTATCCATCAACCATCACCATTACTATCAGCCAATACCATTACCAGCATTGATCATAATCAACTAGAACCATCACTCATCACTATAAATCAGCACCATCGAACAACACCCATCACTATTACCATAAATCAGCACCATCACCCAACCTCATCAACCACCACCATCACTCTATCCCCATAAACCATCATTACTCATCAACGGCATTCTTTGATTGTCCACCACCACCATAACCAATCACTACCACCATCACCAATCACCACTCTGGAATCTCATATAAATTACTAACATCATTACCAATATAGTATAGTTAAATATGATGGATACCATGCCAGCATAGAGTAGGTACTGTATTAGATATTATGACATTCAGCATTCAAGGAGATTCATATTAGCATTTTTAATATTATTATCAAATTTTCTAAAATTATTTTAAAACCCCATATTTAATAAGGATGATGCATCTAGCGAAGTTGATAATATTTTTCTCTTTAATTTAAAATCAAAACCAGGCCAATTGTAAATATTAATCTGATATACAATCTTAGCCTAAGATTTCATTTTCCATTTCAAAATAAGCTCAAAATTCAAACTACAACCAAGCTAAAATCCATCTTGTGTACCTGAATAATAATAATAAGTAAGCTCATTTATATTCCAAGGCATCTAGAGTATTCGCATACACGGAGGCTATTGATTATCCATTTCCAGGCGGCCTAACTGTTTACACACCCTGTATAACACACTGGCCTTCAACATAAACATGTGGATTCTGTCAGTGCACTCAGCTTATGAAATTCAGGCTCAATGTTTAGAATCGTTTTTTTCTAAACACAACAAATTTGTAGTTCAATCTATGACTTTTCTAAAGGAATATTTAACTATATTATTGTAGGTTATATAGATAATTAGCAATAGTGATATATTGAAAGGTATAGTAGTCATTAATTAATACAGAAATGTAGTAACATAATTACAGTAATTTTATTGATTGTTCAATTTTTTTTTTAAATGGAGATATAAGCAAAATTATAAAGTGTAATTTCCCGCCATCTAGAGGTGCCATAATCACAAATTTTCTTACCTCAGCTCCAACCATGGTGGGGCTGAGGTGGTATAATCCTCAATATAATATTCTCCATCTGCTAAAGTACCCAGTGGCGAATTCAAGGGGACCCAGCCGGCCCACCTCCGCCCCTAAATTATTCAAAAAAAAAAAAAAAAAAGGAGATATAAAGATAATTATATTCAATTAGGTCTGGAAGTGCAATTTCCGGCCATCTAGAGGTGCCATAACCACAAATTTTTATCTCAACAATAAATTTTCAGCTCCAACTATGGTGGGGCTGAGGTAGTATAGATCTTTTATCTATGAAAGTACCCTCCCTGGGCCCTTTTATTTCGAATTCCTGGATCTGCCACTGGAAATTACAACAAATATAAAGTCATATTACAGTAGCTTGATGGCTATAAAATAACTTATAAAATTCACCAAACTTCGTAAAATGTCAGTACCTTCCAGGGGATTCCCCCCCCCTTGGAGCTCTTGGCGGCCCCCTGGCCCACAGCCTAGATGCTCGGTTCGCTCGCATATTGGACCTTATGGAATGGCCCCCCCCCCACTTTCAAAAACGTTCCGCCACCTTTGAGCACATACAGTTAATAATGACATCGACTACTAACAAAACTTGCACTATTTAAACTGCGCAAACAGGCATATTGATTGGTTCAGTGGTGGGCATAAAAAGCGGTTGGAGGGACGAAGTGAATTTTTTATTTAACACTGAGGGCTGCACCCAAACTTTGAGGTTTCCAGTGACCTTCCAAAAACCCCCAAGCACTGCTTTTACACCACTTTATTCTTAGTTTTAATGTTACTTTTTACATTATCCACTTCAAAAACAAAGTGTTGGTGGGCCGGACACAAAGGGTTTTTATTTCACATACGGGCCGAGGGCCGTACTTTGCCCACCTGTGGGTTGGAGCGGATGTGGAAAAAAAATGTCAGAAACTTTTTATTAATACAGTATGCTATTTTTAACGCTAATTTAAACAAATGTCACCAAATACTTTGACTGGATTGGTACGTCACTTTGGTATTTGCTAATAGCACCGGTGGCTTCACTAGAACCAGCCAATGAGCAATCCAGCTATTGTAGTAGAGATCAGTGGTGTGAAACCACTACACCACTGAGCTTGCAAACACTCATTCACATTGCTCATTCGAGGCAGGTCGAATGGCCGAGCGGTTAAGGCAGGGGCCTGCAACCTATACAGCGATAACAGAACGTTCGAACAGCACGAACATCTATGGCTCTAGGTGAAGCAAATTTTCTCAGATAAAGACTACTGTATAAACTGTAGGCCCAGTGTACACAATTGGCTCATGTGCACTATAAAGAACCCAGTACATCTTTCGAGAACAGTCGGAGGTTTTACCTCAGTGCACTGGTCCATCTCACAGCCCTGCCCTCATCCAGTACGAAAATACACTGACAGATGATCTGTACCAGAAGAAGAAAGAAGAAGTATACAACAACTTTCTAAGGAAATTGCGCAACTACTGTATGAAAAGCTTCATGTTTAAGTCCTACAAAACATTAGTAATATTAGAGGGTGATTATAGGAAGTTGAAATATAAGATATAGAGAATGAGACATCATGAAACAGAAGAATGTAATTTAAGTTTTAGCTGCTAGCTTTTCTTTTTTTTATGAGCTCCATGAAGATAGTAAATTATTTATACTGTACCCATCTTTGCACAGATGTTCTTCTTTTACTGTTTAACGAGTGATACCATGGACTCTCGCAAACATTAACTCATAAGATTTAGTGAACATACCACAACTTTGTATACGAGCAATGTAATCTCTGTAGATTATCGCCACTAGTTTTTCATGCAAACATGAACATGATGCCGAAACACAGCGATAGCAATATAACTTTAATGCCTATGCTAAAATGAGGATCCTGCCTTCTGGGAATACATGTGTTAGCGTTTAAATTATTCCTTTCCGAAACTCTCATTGGAAGATAATTCTGTTGATGACACTTTTTGCATTCCTAAAGAGAGTATAACAGCAAATATCTTAAATTATACTGGATTTTGCCTATAAAGGTAACAAATACATCAACATGCTATGACTTGCGTGCTCAAACAAAAACAAAATACATATTTGAATAGTTTTATCTGGTTTGATTACAACTGTAGAACAGATGCTAACTCACATAGTTTGATAAAGTCAAGTTGATAACATCGACGAAAGTTTGGATTAAGTTTACACCAATTGCGCTTAGTGTACCATCGATGAGACAATTGTACTTAAAAAAAACATATTCACGTATGACAACTTCCATGAGGTACCACTCTAAAGTTAGGCCTTCAAAAAAATTTGTTTTGTTAACTGTGTAAAGTTACAGATGGTAGGGAAGTATAAGGTGAGTAAAGAGTTCTAAACGGAAAGCTATGTGTATAGAAAACATCTGGTAAGCCAGAGTATACTTTAGGAACAACAATGATATCCATTATGGTCGTAATGAGATCGAGTAAGCAGTGGCAGCTCCAGTTTATTAAATTTGGGGGCGTGAAGCTCAGCTCTGATAGGGGAGCTGACAATACAGGCAAAACCCAGGGGATAGGGCACTGATGGGTGTCAAGGCTGACATGGCTCCTGCTACCTCGAAAAACTGCAATTCTGGACCGCAAGTCATAGAATGTATTATGTATTATTTTTTGTAATGATTTTTTTGATTTCCTATCCAACCGAGGGGGCCTGCCAAAGAAACGGTTTTGAAAGATGACCAAGGAGCAAGGCTTGTGGACAATTTTCTAAAGACCCAGTGATGTTATAGAGTGTGAACAAGCCTGGGTTTGAGCTATGACCCACTATTACATGTCGCTGATTTGTACCTACTTGTACTTGAAATTTTTCCAACCTTTATAAAGCCTCAGTCTATATTATTTTAATTCACCTCACCTCTGCTTTCATTTCAAATTAACCATTATTCTACATAATACATTCATAATTAAATGTCAACCCAGATATTATCCTGTTAGTTATAGATTTTCTATTAAAAGAACTTAAATTAATGTTCTCAATACACTGATCCTCTACATGTAAAAATCTTTACACAAAAATAATTTCCCCATTTTAAGTGCAAAAATTTTCTCTAGTATGCTTAAGGTTCTGTAATCACAAATTCAATAATGGTAACAAAATGATATACTGTTTTAAAAATATTTGTGCAAAAAATCATAATTGTTATAATTCTACGTGTATGTAGTGCATCACACTAGTACGATAGTCTACCAGCTGTATGGGTGAGTTACCCACTTTACTCGTAGTGTAAGGACTTACGTAAAATTTTAATAAGTGATGATTTTGAATCCCTAATCTTAAAGTTAAGAGTTGCCGGTAACTTCCGAACCAATGGTCTCACTCCTCTCACTCATATCGTCCACAAACCATTAACATCAACTATTTATATAAACTACTCAAACAGTTTTTCTGGTACATACAATAGAAAGTAAATTTTTCTTCCTTGTAGTTTAAAGTCAGGCTCCGGAGGGAAAAAAAAAAATGTTTTCCTCCGGAGTCTGACTTTAATGCGAGGAGGAAGTTAAGTATCGTGTTACAGCCAACACGATCTTTTTTTTTTATAATTCCTTGAAGGTTTTATTTTAGCGGTTACTATCTTTTTTGATTGCATGAAGGATTGAAGGAAGCAAAATATACAGTTTGTGCTTTTGATTGCCTCTCATAAAACATACATTACAGCACGAATGATAACAAGCGGTACTTAGAAAAAGTTGAGGAAATATCATAAACTATAACTCATACTTAATGTGATTGCATTTGTTACATGTGATAAGCTTGTAAATGATGTATAATTTATATGATCATGTATAAATCAACATATATGATAACATAATCACATGTTTTTACACTATTGTAAAAAAAACTTTTATTTTTGGAATACAACACAATACAGCTGAACAAACCCATGTACACAATCACAAAAAAAAAATATCCTTTTTATTCTATTCAAAAAAAATTTCCTTTTGTTTAGATAAAAATAGCATACATAGCATTAGTATGTGATGCATACATTTTCTTACAACATGATAAAGAGCCTATACTACACATGCATTTATAGTCAATGTGTTAGCATAGTGTGCATCCTTACATCTGAGTATTTCTTACGATCATAATAATCTCACTCCTGCTGTATTCAACTGAAACCCACACCTCCCCCTATTGAAGACACATATAAACACATAAATAAAGTATACAGCTACAACACCTATGGAATAACTTGGAAGGACCAAATGTCCAAGATGGTTGAACCGAGTGTCCAACATTGAATAGATAATTTAAAAATTTACATTGTTAAAGCAACCCATGTACAAAAATTGTTACAATTGCTAGGTGTTTTGTATCTTTGCATTTTTTTCATGTTTGATGTTTAGGGTTTGCCACATTTTGTATAGGAACCTGACTTTGCCCTCCTGTATTTGAGCAAATAAATATATTATTACTGAATTCCATAAACATGCCGAAATGCTGAGTGTGGAGACCATGCTCGTCACTGCCCAATTCCGGTGGCTGAACATGTTGTACGAATGGATAAATCCAGATTGCTGAGATCGCTATTTTCTATGGGGAATTATCGGAAGGACATTGGAGAATCGGGGCCCAAAGACTCAAGGATGTGCTAAAGCGACATTTACAGAAACTTTGACAAATTCTCCACCGGACACCTGGGAAACAGCAGCGCTGAATGGCCTAAATTGGAGAGATGTATATGAATGGTGCTGAAATAAGGTGGTAGAAATATCCAGCACACAAAAAACGAAATCAAAATCATCTCCTCAACTAAAAGCCTTGGACTATCATCTTCTGTATTAGGGGCTTCATCAGTAAGCTTGGACATACATTTATTAGTCATTATTGAATTGATTATTATTAATTATGGAGAGTCATAATATACTGTATAATCCCACATCACAGATGTCTACATAACTGTGAATGTGGAACTACATTTTGTATATGTTTAATTTCAACTCTAAATAAATTAGAACAACAGTATCAGTGGTGGATCTAGGAATTTGAATTATATGGGGCCCAGGAAGGCATTTCACAGATAGAGGGTCCGCCTAACTTCAGCCCCATCATGGTTTGGGCTGAGATAAGAAAGTTTATGATTATGGCACCTGTAGATGGCCAGAAATGGCATTCTCAGACTTCACTTTAATATGATTTCACATTTTTCCCCATTTGTTTTAAATTTAAGGGGGCCCAGGCCGATTTGACCCTACCCCCTTGAATCCACCATATACATAATTACTATCGGCTATCAGGCTGCTAAATGAGTTACTCTAATTTTCCTGGATGATGTGTTTTTTTCTTTTCTTCCTGTTGTAATTTAATTTATAATTTTGTAATTGCAATTTTGTAACTTAAGTGAGCACCACATAAAAATTCCAATGTTACATAAGATTATGGCAACAAACAGAAATTGAACTTGAACTACTACATAGGGTTTGCTATGAAGTTATTACAATGTGTCACTTTACGTGCCTATGATCACATGCGCTGGCATGTGCTATATCCCTCACATAAACAGCTCTATGATTGATTGTATTTCTACATTAGGCAAGACTTTTTTTATACCTTGTTTTAAATAATGAGGATTTTGAATAAAAATAAAATTTTATATTTGGCCAATTAGCACATCCGCCACCATGAAAAAATTGGAAAATTTCAGAAAAAATGTTTTTATTCATTTTTATTACGTCCGCACTGCCTTATATAGTATGTATATTTCTTCCTAATTATATAAATCTAAACCATTTAACCATCCCATTACTACACTGTTTACATTCACCAATACAATTTTATTTTTATTTTCTCCTCCATCTGAAAGTTTTTAGCAAAATCAAATAACAGAATTTTTTATTTTTCCACCCTGCTTTGACGAACTTAATAAAAAATGTAGGTTCACAAAGCAAGTCTCGCCTTACATCCACATACAAAGTACTGAAAAATACTTGTGATCTCTTGTTTTTTCATACTAGCACTTTGTCAGTGCATACTGTGATAATGTGTACTGTACTTAAAAATGATTTGCACATGCCTTTCAATGCATTTTATGATAACACGTTTCTGCTTTGTATGAAAATAATCGCATATTTATATAGCAGTTTAATGTACCTGCACATACTATACTTTTTAAAAAGTAATATAATTGCATCTATTACTATACAGAAAAAAACCTGGGTTGATGGAGACATATGCAAGGGGCCATGTTGTAGCTTGGACAATTGATGTCTTCTGAAAGATGGTGCCACTGTGTTTTATAGGGAAAGAAAACTGACAAACAACAATCAATAAAATGCAATAATAATCACCTAGTGTTTAAGGACTATTCTAATTGTTTATTACAGTATTTTATTAATAATAAGTAAATAGTTTAGTCACATACAATGCATTCATGAAAAAAGTGAAAAGTGAAAAAAAAATCACCCCTAAATACAAAACTATGACTATACCAATTTTAACTAATTTTTTGTAGTTTAGTATGTGTTATTACATTTATTATGTTATTTTTCTTCTTGATATTTGAAAGCACATTGTATTATGCTTCGTGTTTACAGATTTCATTCTCACAAATATAATTTATATATATTACATTTTATATCAAACATTTTGATGGGAAAATATACTGTGTGCAACTTTTCACATGCTTTTTAAATGCCTTGATAAGTTATTCCTACAAGTGATGGATGGAGGCTGATTCCATAACAGAGGTAAGACATCAGCTTTGGCCAATAATCACTGTCAAAAAGTAAGCATAAGCTTTAATATAAGCTTACCTGCAAACCACTATTAGGTCTGTCTTGTAGAAGAGGCTCACAAGGATTATCATGCATGTTATATCATACATTAATATCTTCAGCTATTTCAAGGCAACTTGTGTAGAGTGGAGCGAGTAATGAGTAATGATATCCAGAGATGATTTAAGCGATGATATTCTGCGAACCAACATGAAAAACATAATCGGGCAAATGATGTTGCACAGAGCAGAACTTCAATACCAACAGAATTAGCCATCTCAGGTTTATGTGTAGGCCTACAGATGATCACTCCCTCGTGACCATATTAAACAGGGCAAGTGATGATTTTCTACATTATCTCATCTTCCTTTAAAGAATCTAAAAGCAAACCATAATATTTTAATTAATAAATTTATTAATGAACAAAGTTTGCAAATTATCTCAAAGGAATGACATTCAGACTTCAACCTAATACCTTCAATATCCTACGTGGGTGCTGTATCTACTTTAACCAATGATGATCACTGCCAGGGATTCTTGGAAATAAGAATGCATTTTCCAAGGCTGTATATTTTATTATTATGCTATGTTATTACAAAGTATGTTTTTCATTTCTTAATTTAATGTTGCAAAAAAAAAGTTTTATTTATTTACTTTCTATTTTACTTTCTGTGCCTCTGAGTTATATAAGTGATTATTGATTAGACTGGAGAATGCTTACTTGGAAGAGTTAAATTTGTATTAAGATGGTAAAATTTAATTGAATATTCAAGTTCAGATTATTTATCAGACTTGAAGAACCTATAACCATTAAATATCTTATGTGAGTTTTTTTTTTAAGATCGCTTTATTAAGATGGGTTACATGAAGTTTCAAAGAATTGTTGTACTAGGCAAATTTAGTTGTACTAGAACTTCATCTTGCAATCTTGTTTACGATACTAAATATTGTGTTATATAATACTTTACAAATTTAATATCAATTTTGCTGCTACTATTTTTATAACTTGCCAATTATTTAAAATATATAGTTCTATAATTATTAGTTTTGTTTATTTCCATATGTACTGTAGCAAGTAGTGTTAATGGGAGTCCATCACTAGAAGGATGGGTAGCACAAGTCAAAAATAAATGGGAAAAATAAACTCTACTATTGGTCTATAATGTTAACCTCTCAACTGTATTCATTCCACATCATAAAAATTTAACTGAAATTTTAACACCAGGAAACATTGGCTTGGAGCAGTGCCAAATAAACCTCAAAACTGTTGATATTTCTCAGATAAACAATAGATAGTGTAAGTATTGTTGTGGTTGTCGTTTTTTGTGAAAGCAGACAATGCTATCATTTGATTCCATTTCAAGGGGCTTGATTTTATTAAAGCTCATTCATAACACCTTGTTTACAGTAGTATCATAAAGACTTAGTCTGATCCATGCAGATGCGTTAGCGATTAGTTCACAAAAGATTTGGCTTTTTGCTTATTGTGTATTACTTGTGTATCTTGGCAGGCACAAGTTTTGTGGTGAACAGGGCCTGTGCACCGGAAGTGTTTTATTATATCATGATATATACAAGCAAATAAACAAATAGATATTATAATGATAATGTAAAAATAAATGAGCCCTACTAGTTTTCTGAGTGTGCATAAAATTTGAAAGTGTCATAGATTTAAGTTGGTTTTAGTATGATCCGGGAGTAGTATTCCATAATTTAGTAGATCGGTATACAAAAGTTCTTTTACCTAGCATATTATTCCAGGTGTATTCAATAGTGTATTTTTACTTTGATTGCGAGTACAATGTGTGTGCAAACCATAATTAAAAACAAAATTTTTTGATAAATATGATGGAGCATGACCATTTAAACTGATAATATATTATACTGATAATATTAGTGGACTACCATGGTTGTCTGACATATTCTAACATTTGGGCGAGTCGAGTGGTCAAGCGGTAAGGCAGGGGCACTGCCTACTATACAGCCTTAACATCATCACTGGTTCAAGCCGCTCCTCACCCAGGGTCTGGTTGATTGAACCAGGTCTTCTCGGATAAGAACCCAATGCATCATTCGGAAGAGTAGGGGTTTACCCTGATCGTTCATTTCAGCCCATACGAAATTCAGCACAATGACGTTTCAAGTTGTGGATTATTCTCCTTCTTTTACCTTTACCATAGGATCTTTCTATAACTACATGTGACCAACTTGCATCATTAAATCAAAAAAGTAAATCTTTCCAATTTTTCAAACACCTCTTCACGCCCCCTTAAAACACCCAATCATGCCCTCTCAAACACCCACACACACCTGAAACACCCACTCACACCCCATCAAACATAGCCACCCACATAAAATTAAGTGGAAATATTAAATATAATACAATACTAATAATAAGAATCAATAATTTTATACTTCACAGTAAAAGCATACTGTAGCTTTCCAAACATTTAACTCACCTGAAAACAGTTCAATTTTACTAATTAATTAAACAACAATAATATGTAAATATGGAAAAATCAATTAATTAGGAAAATCTCATGTGTATTACTATTAATCTTCTTATCTTGGATGGGATCTCTTTGGAGTGAAACACACTAATGAGGACCGATTAAATTCTGAAGACTTATTTCCAGTGGGGTTCTACTGGTGTTGAAATTTCAAGTACACAGGGAGACAATTCCCTGCTAATTTGTGAAGAGCATGCTGTATTCAAACATGCACATGGCCCATGTTGCATGCAGGATAAGACTATCAGGATATCTCATAGATGGTGGGCTATCGAAACTAGTTTTTTCAGCCCTCTAGCTGAAACATAAGGAGAGTAGCCAAAGGAATTAAACCAGAAACTAAAATTATGTACTAAAAAAATTGTTGCAGATAAAAATTATGTATGCTATGTACTGGTAATGTACAATTCATATCCATTCATTTCGCTGGAGTAAAATATAAATAAACTACCATAATCACTGTTTTTCTCACTTCCTTGGTTAGTACGATCCTCTGACTAATATTCAAGTTAGGTCAAAAGTGGGTTTTTAGTATCTGAGTATACTAATACTTGAGTTTATCTATACTGTATTTATTTAAGCCGTTATTTACGTATATCCTGTTAAAACAACAAACTCCTACAAAACTTATATTTACTAGTCTGTTAATAGCCCATGGGCATGGGCAATAGCCCAAGATGCCCTTTAAAATTTCTATGAAACCCAATTAATTGAGAAAAATATGGTAAATGGTATGGAACTTTGTATAGGATAGCACACACTGAGTTTGCACATATGCTTAATATAAGAATAGCATCATTCAGTCATTCTGTACACATTTTTACGTGCCCTAGGCCATGAAGCCTGGGCAAAATTTAGCAAGTTTACTTTGGAAGAAAAGTTGTTGCTTACGCAGCAGAAATTTCCTGTTCAAGCAACATGATTTGTCTAAATCATGTTTACTCTCTGGGAAAGAGTTGTACATACAGCTGTGCCCTTGCTTACTGATAGCTGGGGTTATATAGGAAAAGATCCAGGATTTGAAGTTTGAAGGAGGAAGTTCAAAATACCCAAAAAAGAAGAGGGACCAGGGGTCCTCCCCTATGAAAACGTTGATTCCTAGATGAAAAAAAAAGGCAATTTTATCTCATTCTTATTACAAAGTATGCCTGTGTTATACATAGAGAAAAAAAAAAATCAAAGACATATATTATTATATTCCAATATTGAGTACAGTAGTTGGATTCATAGTCTTTCCATGGATCGATGAACCGATAAAGCTGAAGGACGCACTTTCATACCAAACACCCAGTAGTATTTTTTTACTTTTCTTCACAGAGGGTGGTTATCTGAATGTAGGTAAGAATGGCCCCGGAAAAAATGGCCCCGGAAAAAATGGCCCCGGAAAAAATGGCCCCGGAAAAAATGGCCCCAGAAAAAATGGCCCCGGTAAAAATGGCCCCATATGACAGGTAGGTAAAGAATATGCATATTTGAGAACTAAAATTAAATTAGTTTTTAGCTCCTATGAGTAGCTCTGGGAGTAGGTCTAAGTATTTTTAAAAATTATTAATATTATTAGATATTATTACTATATTTGCGGCAAATTATTAATATTATTATTATTATTAATGGAGTCATTTAATTTTTATGTTTGACTATTAAGAATAAGCATTCTTAATCTACTCTAATCTCTCAAATTTGCAAAATAGCTTTTGATGTATTTTTCTAAATTCAAATGGTGATGTTGATTTTCTTCTTTTAATTAGTTTTCCCTGTTGTAGTATTTGTTTATGTTTATATTATATGATTGCTGTCTCTTATACACATCTAGATGTGTATAAGAGACCAGTTTTAATTCAGAATTTGATTATTGGGGCCATTTTTACCTACCTGTCATATGGGGCCATTTTTACCGGGGCCATTCTTTCCGGGGCCATTATTTCCGGGGCCATTTTTTCCGGGGCCATTTTTTCCAGGGCCATTCTTACCGTACACCGGTTCATACGAATCACCACCCCTGAACCCCCTGGACCTGCCCACTGGTTATAGGATTAAATCCTCCTAGCTAGAAATGGGCTAGTTGTGTTTAGGCCATCTCAGTCCCTCGTCCCTCATTGACTACCAATAATGGAATCAAACATTTTAAAAATGAATTAAAATATGAAAGTAAATATGAAAGATTGTACTTCATTCATTGTTTGCAGTTGCAAACCTCAAGCAAACAAAGCCACCGGCAACAATAAGAAGCACCAAGACAAGCTTAATCCACACAATGCTGTTTATTATTTACAAAGAACATTAAATGTAAAAAGCAGATGCAGTACTGTAACTTGCTATACAATAATTTGAATACACCTGGTAAAGCACTTCAGTTGGCATCAATTCTTTTTAAGATATTTAATCCTTGTAAAATTCACAGTTAAAAAATTACAATAATACAAGGAGGATCTCTGGTTTAGACTAGATGCAATGTTCCTGGAATGCACATAGAGTTTCGTTGCCTCTTGATTTTTGAAATGTAATCTAAGCAACAAACTAATTATATTTATACATTAAGCCCTAAAAAAATGTATGCTGCCAAATCCTAGGGTTGGCTTTTTCACCAAAAATATGTTTTTTTTTTACTAACACAAAGATGTCTGAAAAAGATTTCCCAACTTCAAATAATAAATATATTATATATACCATCAATTTTAGCTCTGTGTTGATCATTTAACAACCACAATGCAAGGGGGTGGGGGGGGGAGGGATGGTTGGCAATGAACTCTAGAATTTTAAGGTAGGCTAGAAAACAAGAAAATTTAAATATATTTTTTTGCCTATCGTACATTAAAACACAGATATGTTATCACATAATGTTCACCACACCCATAATATTATATCTCTCTGC